TTTCTGTCTTTTGTTTTTGAAATGGAAATATTTTTCCATCAAGAAACTTCAGCTACTTTTAATTAAGTAAAATAAATTTAGATTAAAACCTTATATTACTATGGTTTCATAAGCACTACACATGTAAAAAGACATCTCATAATTTCAAACTTAACCCTAAATTTGCAAGAAGACAGAATCAGGCCCATCCAGCTTTGCCACGAGCCCAGACCACCAGCCTCAGACATGGGGTTGGCTGGCTTGGCATGGTTGCATGGGCTCTTTGCGGCCCACAAGCGCCCGGGGCTGCACTGGAAGCGCCTGCAGGGCACCATGGAGCTGCAGCTTCTGAAGGGTCTGAGTGCTGGGAAGCCTCCTGCCCCTGAAGAACATGTTCGCCTCCTGCTGGGCCCTGTGGAAAGCAGCAAAGAGAAGGAGCTGACCCCAACCAGTGTGCCCACCCTTACCAACCATCTGCTGGCACGTGGACTGGCATTCACCCGCCTGAAGGTGGCGTGGGACACCCGCTGGATGTCCAGGCACCTGGGTTGCTTGTGCTCTGCATGGGACACAGACGCAGCCTTCTCAGCAACTTGTGCAACGCTCACCCCACCAAGGATTACATAGTTCACGGCCTCCTGGGCAAAGCCACAGACGACTTCTGTGAGTATGGGAGGCTGGTGGAGAAGACAACATAGGACCACAGAGAGAAGCTGGGCCGAACTTTGGCCGTGACCCAAGGCTCCCATTAGAAAGTCCTGGTGGTGTGCTCTAGCCATGACCTGCAGACGCAGGAGGCCTATGGGATGGCATGAGAGGCTTGATCCAGCCCATGAATAAGTCGCCGATGCTGACAGCCTCCTCTTTGCACCTTCAGGATTCCCCTTAGAGGTGCAGCGCATGCAGGAGACACAGAAGCACCAGCAATAGCTGGTGCATGAAATTGGCTTGGAGCTGAAGACCACTGCTGTCTGCACCCAAGAGCAGCATACACATGCTGGCTTCTTCACCCTGGACGACAGCCTCCTGAGGATCCAGTGGGACCTACACAGCATCCAGGATGCCTTCCAGAACTCAGCTCCCCGGGTGGCAGCAGAGCTGGAGAGCAGCTTGAGGCTGGGGCCAGGCGCCCAGCAGCTCCCTGGTCCAGGCTGTCAGCAGGCCAGCAAGGGATTGAGCTCTGCCTTGAAAGACTGGACAGCTGGTGGGGCAGCGGGTGGGTAACGACAAGAGTTGTCCATGAGCTGGAACAGATGACGATGCAGAAAGAGCAGGGGAAGCTCTATTACATGTGACGTGAAACTCTGAAGCTGTAAGAGAAAAGACTTAACCCAACAGAAAAAACAACTTCTGAATGGAGGAAAAGACAACAAATGACGGACTGATAGAAATATGTGCAATATGTTTAATGAAGAACTAATATCCGTAATATATAAAGAGCTTTTACAAAATAAGAAAAATGAAAGGAAATTTGGGTAAATTACATGAACTTTCTGAAAAAAATACAACCAAATGGCCAGTGAGCCAGAAATGATGCTCAGCCTTTTTAATAATGAAAGACCTCCTGATGAACAGGAGATGACGTTTCCGTGACTTTGGAAGAAATCAACGAAAAGATACCATCCAGCACGGATGGTGGGAGAAAGCGGGCAATCTGTGCTGGTCGTAGTGTGTCAGGGTGGTAAGGAGCTGGGAAAATTCACCAGCAGGCGAACTGGGGAAACTAAGACATGAAAATTAAACAAGGCCAAGCAGTTTGAGCAGCTCACAGCTTACTCGTTTATAAATCGCAAGACCTTATTTCCCTTAACCAAGGACACTTGAGAGCAAATGGTTCATACCTGTCCTCCCCGACCAGACAGTCCAGGGCTTAAATCATCCTGGTCTAGGAACTTCTTTTGACACTTCTTGAGGTTGTGGGATACCACAGGTGTCCAGGGAAGGGAGGAGGAGGGGGAACCTAGAAGCTGGCTACAAGCACAAGACCCCTAAGAAACACAAGGTAAACAACTATCTTTCATTGAGCTTATTCACAGGGCTTCAAGAAGAAGAAAAACAAGACCCGGGTGCACCTGCAGGGAGAAAATAACCACCACCATTCATCAGTGCCCTGTAACCATAGCAACTGCAAAACAGAAGAGCCCACTCCCACCCTCCAACCCCAACGGAAAGCCTGAACACTCTCACACAGGCGCGACCCTGGTACTGATCTCAAGCTTCTGCACTCTGTCGACTGAATAAATCTTATTCTCATTTAAAAAAAAAAAGAAGACAGAGTCAATGTGACTCATAGATTTGGCAAATCTAATTTGTATAAATATATGAAGTGTAAGATGTGGTTCATAACTGTTGCTCATTTTATTCTACATGGAACCACATACAGGGTGGGGCAAAAGTAGGTTTTATGGGAAATAATACAATAATTAATAAATATCACAATAATAAACTCTGTGTTTTGAATACTCACACTTGTAAACCTACATTTCCCCCACCCTATATGTTCATGACAGTGAATTTCATCATTTAATAAACATTTATTAATTATTATGGGCAGATCACTGTACATATTTCTTGTGTGTTTTGAAGTATTGATAATATAAAGTCCAAATTCTTTATCAGAAGCCAACTGGCCAACTTTAATAAGTTAGCACTAAGTTGGGGTCCCTCTCTCCCTCAGGAAGGACGTTGGTATTCAGGAGAATGTAACTACCATGTCTCCCTGGGCTTTGACTAATCCTCAGAGGTGTGGCCGTCTGGCCAAGCATGTGCGATTTCATATTGCTGGAGCCAACATTGTATATCCATGGGGACGGGGTGCATCTTTCTGTAAGTTTGCTGTGACTGAACCAAGAAAGAAGGCATATACAGATTCCTGCAGAAAGTATGATTTCGTGAAAGAGTTTGAGGAGATGAGGATGCCTGGTGTCTTTCCGAGTGCAAAGTGATCTTCGAATGTAAAGAACTTCTGTGGGTTGACTTCCGTGGAAGTAGGTCGTGTTGAACTTCGATAGTTTTCCTCTGGCTGAGTTGCTAAGGAGTCGGTTTCTGCGGTGAGGCACCTGAACACTTTCATGCTGGGGCCTGTGATTGACAGTGTTTCCTGTCGCCGACCGGGGTGTTGCTACATGAGAGGAACCCCCTCGCCCGACCTGCCAACTCCACTTTAGTGAGGTTTCCCTTTCTGCAGGTTCACAGTAGTAATTCCCGTTCATTGGCTTATTTCCAATCCGTGGAAGCCAAGTTATATTTCTGTGGTCAAAACGAGCTAAGGGCTAGAAACCCTCTTCCCATGTTATCCCATGAAAGCCAGTGAGCAGCTAAAGTGACCCTGATCTGTCGACTCCCGTCCTGATATTTGATGCCTTATTTTTATGCAAAATGCGTGTAAGCTTTCTCAGGGTTTTTGTTTTCATTTCTGTTTGGTTGTATCTCGTCCTCTTATTTCTGAAGCCTTTGCAGACCTGCTAAAGCTACTTCAACCTACCCATTGCTCATAACGCCACTTCACCCCATCGTGTTTCTAGTATACTTGCTACACCATGTGTTGTATTTGAATCCTTGGACCCTCTGGAACTTACTTCGTGTCTACGAATTGCGTGCTCAGAATTTCCTGGCCGTTTCCCGGAATGCAATGCAGCCTCGACCGCGTCGGCCCTGCTTATGCAGTTCTCGCTGACAGCGGGTTTGGCAAGGGACGCGCCTAGACGAAAGTCGGGGGTCCCGACTACAGTCTGGAAGAACTAAGACTCTTTATCAGGCATCAGGAGGGCCACGTCCACCCTAAAGACCTGCCAGGGCTCGGGGCCCCGAGATCCTGCGGGGCAGGTCCCTCACCAGCCGCTGGGAAGCAAGCGAGCCGCGGAAACCGAAAACAGCCCAGCTGCAGTCCTCCCCGCAGGCTGCGTGATAGGCACTTGCCGGACCCGGAGCAACCAATCCCCGCGGGATGGGGCGGGTCTTCCGTCGGCCAGTCCCGAGCCCAGGACTGAAGGGCTGGCTCCGCCCCCTTCTCCTCCTTTCCAGCTTCTTCTGACCGCCCATTGGCAGGCAGGGCCTTGCGAGCTCAGCAATGATTGGCCGTTTGCGCCGACTCAGCTATATTGGCTGGAACCTGGACCTCCCCGCGTCACACCTCCTGAGGGCGGGAAGCGCGGGAGCTGGGAAACGACGACCAGGGTGGGCAGCGCGGCAGGGGCCCCGGGACACTGACAGAAAAACGGGGGACCTTGCCATGTGGAACCCTTAGCCCGCGACCTTCACATTCCAGCCCAAGAGACCCCTGATGCCCTCATCCTAAGAGGCTCCAAAGTCCCTTCAGCCACGAGGAGCTCCACGCCCGCTAATCGGACGACCCCACATCTCCTCGCCCAGATGAACACTAAATCCCCCAACGCTTGACCGCCAGACACCCTGAAAACCCCAATTCCCCTCAGCGCGGAGCACCCTACCTACGGCTCTCCCAGAAAAACCTAAGTTCCCCAAAGTCAGAAACCCTAAATGCCGTCGTCCTGGGAACGCAAGGTCGGGGAACCTAAAGCCCGTAGTGAGAGACCCCAGATCTCCTCAGCCTCTGAGGTCTCGCATCCTCTTCCCCCAGCACCGTAAATGCCCTCGGCCGGAGAGGCCCCAGGTCTTGTCCCGAGGGCCCCCAAGTCCCGGCGCCTGAGAGGTGCCCGTCTCCTAGAGACTGCGCAGCGTCACGGGCGGACGTCCCCGGAACCCGGGAGGGATCCAGAACTCCGTCCCTGAGGGAGGCTTGCTCCCGGGGCTGCCACAGGCCCGCGCAGCCGTCGGGGCCGCGTCGTGAGCCGCTCCTGAGGAGGCTGCGCGCAGGGAGAGGCGGCCCCCGTGCGCCCCCGCCGTGGGCGAGTCCGCGTGCCCGCGCGGCCTCGCCGCATCCACCCCGCGTGCCGCTGGGCCCCCACGTCTCCCTCTCTGGGCGCCGTGCCCGCGGGGAGAGAGGCGTCCAGCCTTCTCAGCGCCGTCTCCTTCCTCAGGCGCCGGGCCCGGGGCCGGGAGCCATGGACCCCGACAGAGCCCCGCAGCCGAGCCCCGAGCGGGGAGCGCGGAGAGCGGCGCAGAGGCCGAGCGTGAGCGGCGGCGGCGGCGGGGGCGCGCGGGGAGGCCCGGAGCCGCCTCGGGGACGCGGGCCTCCCCGACGCCACCGACCGCGCCCGCAGGCCGAGGACGCCTTCAGGGACATTTCCGCCTACTTCTCCCGGGACGCCTGGGCCGCGATGGGGGCCTGGGAGAAGAGCCGCTACAGGAACGTGAAGCGCAACTACGAGGCGCTCCTCAGCCTGGGTGAGGCGCCGCGGCGGCGGGGCGGCGGGCGGCGGGGCGGCGGGGCGGCGGGGCGGCGGGGCGGCGGGCGGCGGCCTCGCGGCGCTGCAGCCCTTCGCGCGCGGGACAGGCCTCGCTCCTCCCCAGGTCTCCGGGCCCCCCGACCGGCCTTCATGTGCCGCCGCAGGCAGGCCGCCCCGGCGGAGGACAGCGACGGCTCCGACGCGGAATGGACCCCCAGGCAGCGCGGTGAGCGCCGGGGCGCGGGGCGGGCGTTCCCGGTGTGTGCAATGATGACGTGTACACGCGCGATGCAAACCGGAGTGAGTGAGAAGGAACGACCGCAGAGCAGTTGCCGTCGCGAGCGAGGGCGGAAGGCTGGCGGCGAGCGGCGCCGTGCGGAGCGGATTCCTCGTGGCGGTTAAGGGGGTTGGGGTCCCGGGCCGGAGGGGCCGCGGACCTTCGCTCCGGCTCCGGGCCGGCCGCGCCTCGCTGTGCCGCCCCGCGACGCGGGGGCAGGGCGGGCCGGCCCGCTCTCCGGGGCCGCGGCTGTGAGGCCGCCGGCGGCGAGGCCCCGCGGCCACGGCTGCGGGATGCGGCCCGGGATGCAATGGCCGCGGGCGCGTGCGGGCGGCCCGACGTGCGGCGGTGGGAGGACGAGAGTCCGGGAAGGCAAGGCGGCCGCGGCGCCCCGAGCCCGTGGCGACGGAGAGGACAGGAAGGAGGAAGGGTCGTGGTTCAGGAACGGGGTTCCTGCAGTTACATGACCTGTATTCTATTTTTGTCATGAAAGGCCAATTTATTTTTTTTAATAAGGAAGGCTTTTAAACATAACTTACTTATTTTCCCCTGGAAAGAGGGGAAGGGAGGGAGGAAGAGAGGGGGAGAAACCTCCACGCGTGGTGGCCTCTCGCGCGCCCCCCGCTGGGGACGCGGCCGCACCCAGGCCTGAGCCCCGACTGGGACTCGCCCCCGCGACCCTGCGGTTCGCACGCAGGCCGGCGCTCCATCCAACGAGCCGCACCAGCCGGGGCTTGCTTGCTTGCTTGTTTGTTTGTTTGTTTATATTTATTTACACATAAATAGATACTTTATGAATGTAGGACTAAGCACATATGATGCTTTGTCTAATTTTTTAAAGCATTTTAAAAATATTCGTTGGTGCCCCCAGGAAAGGCATAGTCCTTAATGATAGCTCAGGAAATATTTTCCAGTCATCCTTGGGTTGCCCTTCGACTACCCCTTGATTAAGAATTCTGTGTACCTAATGAAAATCTCAAGATTTGGGAAACATTTACCAACCAGAACACTGATTTCTCTTCATCTTTTAGCCAAACCTTCCCGGGTGGCCTTCAGAGGAGAACAGAGTAAACACCACAAGGTGAGTATTTCCCAAATCCTCTTGACAAGAAAACCCCCATGGGTACAAATGCAAGTAAGAGCAGGAGAATGCAGAGTTTCAGAGACAGAGAAATGTTTGATTCTATGTCTCAGAGGCCGTGCAATCTAATCCATAGCTCCTTCCCTAAACCACTTACTCAGTGAAACTGTCATCGTTTTATAAAGTTTACACTGTCTTATCTGTGTATCATTACATAATTCATCTCACTGATGATTTCAACTGCAATTCTTTTCTGCTATGCTGAAGTAAGAGACACACTAAGACCCTGCAGGGATGTCCAACCCATGGGCCTCTCTAGGCCACACTGGAAGAATTGTCTTGGGCCACACATTAAATACACTGTGACACATAATCACAAAAAAATCTCATGATGTTTTAAGTGAATTTACAACTTTGGGTTGGACCGCATTCACAGCCATCTGGAGCTGCATGTGGTTCAGGAGTAGCAGGTTGGACACCCCTGCAAGGGAAGTGTCTGATGCATAGGCAGTTTGTACAGTGGACAGTCCCAGATAAAGAAAAACATAGGCTCCCCAGCACCAGAGCGTCTGACTCTAAGAAAGCATCTCCCATCCCTGAGGAGCTACAGATTTGATGATTGAGAAACAGCACATAATAAAATGGCTTAAGGACTTCACATAGGTTACACACTGCGCAACAGAAACTCATCCATCTAGAACCGATTTCAAATGCCCATCCCGTAAGAGGAAGTAACAGCTTCTCTCTCTGAGCGCTAATAAGGCCACTCTCATCCTGTTTGGAATCCTTTGTTTAGCCTGCCTGCCTCTGCATTGTGACATCTTTGAGAGGCTGGTCCATACCAGATTTTTCTCAGAAGTATCAGGGCCTCTGAGGGGCCCCCTGAACATTTGCCAAATGAAAGATTTCACAATTGCAAATTAAACTAGAATGGGTCAATGAACGCTGAAGATAGTTTCTGTGAGATTTCGAAGATGGCTGAGGGGTAAATTGATAGCAGGACTATAATCTCACATTCATACTGTATTACATAGCTCACAAAACACTTTAGTGAACATCGTGTTATTTCTTGTTCACTGTAACATTAAGAATGAGTGTGTTATAGATCAGGAAACTGAAGAGAACTGGCAGGTGGTACAAACTTATTCAAACAAAATTGGTGGGAACCAGCTAATCTAATTATAAATATTCTTTCCAAGATACAGCAGTTTGCAAATTTTACCATCATTTCCTTTAATGTCTAGATGTGTTTCTGCCAACTATTTCTTTATTCTGATCCAAATATCCCTCACTCTCACTATCACAGAGAAAATTGAAAAGAAAGAGCCTAAGGTATGGGTTCTAGTCTTGATTTCAAAACCCATATAGACCCTTTCTTCTCCCTTTAATATTCATATTCCCCAGGTATTTCCAAAGGCTGTTGAAGTATTAATTAAACTCATGCATATGAAAATATAAGCCCTAGAGAATTAAATAAATGCATGTTGTCTTTTAATATGTGACTCTTACATTGAAGGCCATGTCCAGACCACCATTAAGCAATGAATCTAGTTTGAAGGAATTGTCCGGAACAGCAAATTGGGGGACTGCAAGTGGCTCAGAGCTGGCCCAGAAACCAGAGTCCCCTCCTGGAGCAGCAAGTACCTCTGGAGAGCACTCTAGACAAAAATTGGGTAAGAAAAAATCATTTGGAAAGTTTAGTTACTCTAAGTCCTGTAGAATGACATGAGGATGGCCTTGGTCTGTAGGGAAGACTTTGGATACACCTGTATTTAAGCTGGATGAAGCTGAGACTGAAGTTAACACTGGAGCTCTGGGAAAATCTTATAAATTCTCTGAGCTCCTGAATGCTACTGTGTAAAGTGAAGATAAGAATACATCACTCATATACTGTTTGAAAATAGTAAACAATGGACACATGCAAGTTGTCCAAGAAATCCATCTGTGATAATAACAACCATACCTTCTTAGTGTTGTTTGCACAGGCTTTTACTCAATGCCTTACACATAATGTGCCCTCCATAAATATTTTATGAATGAGTGAAGGTTGGGAAGTTAAACCTGATGATGGAAAGATCTAGAACCTAAAATTGAATCGGCCATCTACAGCCAGTGTGGACTCAGGTTTCTCTGAACCAATAGTTAATGGAGGAAAATACCAGAGTATGCAGAAGAGACAGGTGATAATTTGATGGGAGGAAATTGTGTGTTTTCTGTCAAAACAGAGTCTAACACTCCAGACCCCACCAACCTCGCTCACCTGCGCTTCTCCAACTTAGATCTCAGGAGAAAGGAGATTGACGTGAAGATGTATAGCCTACGAGAAAGAAAGGGCTATGTGTACCAAGAAGTCAGCGAGCCCCAGGATGACGACTACCTCTGTAAGTGACGCTCACAAAGTAGCACGTTATGCCTTGATAAAATAATTTCATTTAGGCAGTTGGTCCCTAAATCGATCCGTTCTTCCACTGACCAGGAGCGCAGGATTGGGGCTCAGTGACGTGAGTTCCTGGGCTCTCCCTGAAACTCTTCATGTCCAGGAACATGCACTATACCTTCCCTAACCACTGTTGCTCTCACCTCCAGATTGTGAGAAGTGTCAGAACTTCTTCATTGACAGCTGTGCTGTGCACGGACCCCCTACATTTGTAAAAGACACTGCAGTGGACGAAGGACATCCCAACCGCTCAGCCCTCACTCTGCCCCCTGGGTTGAGAATCGGACCATCGGGCATCCCTGAGGCTGGGCTTGGAGTGTGGAATGAAGCATCTGATCTGCCAGTGGGTCTGCACTTTGGCCCTTACGAGGGCCTGACCACAGAAGACGAAGAGGCAGCCAACGGCGGATACTCCTGGCTGGTGAGAAGTGTTTACCTCTTGTCCTGTCCTCCGGCTTCCCACTCCCCTCCCATGATCTGGTGGGACCTCACCTTCTACATGCTGGACATGGAGGGGGACAATATGGTCAGCTCCATGTGCTGAGTGGGCTTTGCATGAACATGGGGCTCCTGTTTCAGGATCATAGAGTGAGTGGGAGCAAAGTGGTACAGACACAGAGGAGAGGCTCCTCCCTCGTGGCGCTCCTGCTCTGATTGTACAGATAGACTCAGATGTGTAGAAAATGAGTAGGAAAAATATCATGTCGTCACAATCGACAGTTGAACCCCCATGTGGGCGGAAAGAGCTTTTATGACAGTAGAGTTAAATAATTCTTCTGACCATTACCTCCCCACCAAAAAAATCCTTTAACTTCTTTTCCTGAAATGCAGATCACCAAAGGGAGAAACTGCTATGAGTACGTGGATGGAAAGGACAAAACCTGTTCCAACTGGATGAGGTGCGGTCAGCAGGTCCCTGGGTGCCAGAGAGGGCTCTCGCCCCACAGGCCCCTATGTCTTTCCCTGGCATCATGCCTCCCTCAACGGCCTCCCTCAACCCTTTGTTCCTTTTTTCTCTGTACAGTGTCCTTTCATATCAAGAGACATTTAGAAAAAAAGGAGGTAGAAATATAGCGTATGTCCTCAGAATATAAAGCTGTATGCCAGACAAAATGTGGGCACTGGGGGAGAAAAAACCTTGAAGAGCCTAGATTCTCCTGGGACACTGGATTGCACTTTAATTTATCAAATGAAATTAATTAAGCACTTGCTATGTTCCAGTTTCGACAGAGGAATTTATTACTTAAAGAGATCACACACCCATGTCCTTATGAAGGACTTACTGCAGACCGACATGAAACAATTGCTTTTAGAAATATTTAATATAATTTTCCTCTGTTTGGAGACATGCACAGTGCCAGCATAGCCTACACCAAGGAGAGCCTAAGGCTGTGAGGGCAGAACATCTTTCCAGCCTCAGTTCTAACTAGAACTGGGTTCTGAGGCCTGCAGAGGAATGGTCATGGGCCTCTTTTCTGAGGGGCTCTCTTTCATCAGGGGAAACAGAATGTGAATCAGCTGTTATTGTTCTGCGTTTTTTTCTAAGACAGAGAGACCTCCAAGTTGCTATGGGAACTTTGGGGAGACAAGTGAATGGTGCCCTGAGTAAAGTGCAGAGAGATTGGAGAAAGGCCTCTGGAGAGAAAATGGACTTGGCTAGAGTATGGAATGATGTGAGCTCACCTGGAAGCAGAGTCTAGATCAAGCACCAGGGTCTGTGGCAGGAAACAAAACTTGATTTAACATTTAGAGAAGCCAGAGGTCACTGGGTTTTATGGCCAATCAGGGCGGAGTTTGGATCTGGAATTGGGCTCTAGAAAATGGTGAGAGGCAGGACGCACATTGTAATCAGGACTTAAGAGAGAGGCCTTTGCCTGACTTCCTGACAGAGGCTGGGACAGAAGAGAAGGTTCCCCGGGGGCGTTGTGGGAAGTGGGCGGTGTCAGAGCCGGAGGGCCTTAACCATCAGTGAGGAGCTGGAGGAGCAGGTGACAGGTAGTGGGGACTCATCGCTGTGCTTTTCTTTCCCTTCATCTGCCTCATTCCCAGGTATGTGAACTGTGCCCGGGATGATGAAGAGCAGAACCTGGTGGCCTTTCAGTATCACAGGCAGATTTTCTACCGAACCTGCCGGGTCGTCAGGCCGGGCTGTGAGCTGCTGGTCTGGTACGGGGACGAGTACGGCCAGGAGCTGGGCATCAAGTGGGGCAGCAAGTGGAAGAGCGAGCTCACGGCTGGGAGAGGTGGGCACCACTGTTCTCCTTCAAAACAGAAAGAAAAGAGAGAGCTCTCTTCAGAACTGTTGAGTGTCCAGCTCTTAAGTAGAGTAAAATCCACTCCAAAGTCAGTAAAGTTTCACATTGCGTGCTTCAGAAATGAAGGATTCATTTCATATGCCTTTGACTCTTACAAGGAATTTTTATATTTTTAATTTCCGTGCTAATTTTTAAAATGTTTCATGCACTAAATACACAACAGCATTTAGTACTGAAAGACTTAAAGGCCAAAAAAACAACAAAACCCAAGTTTTAAAAAAGAGTTTAATTATTTATTTGGGGGGGGTGGAGAGGGAGAGAAACATCCATGTGTGAGAGAAACATTGATCAGTTACTTTTCATATGCGCCCTGACCCAAATGGGGACTAGACACTCAACCCAGGCATGTGCCCTGACCTTGAATCAAACCCATGACCTTTTGCTTTGTGAGACGACACCCAACCCACTGAGCAACCCTGGTCAGAGCAAAACACAAGTTTTTAAGCACTGACTAGCTCTCTCGCTAAAACAGGTTTTTCTGACCTTTTTATAGCTGTTTCTTCCTAATTTCATTTATATTTCTAAATGAAATGTGCATGTTAATATGCATTTATTCATTATTTCAGTTAGTTGTGTTGTGAGTTCCTGCTCTGTGACACACAGAGTTCCGGAAACTGGAAATGCAGATCAACATAATTGAATCACTGCTCTCGAGCAGCTGACAGTGAAGGAGGGAAACCCAGGGATGCGTGCTTGCATGTGCGTCGTATGACACACTGTATGAAAACGAATCCACAACAAGTGCCTGGGATCACTGACAGGGGAGGTGCAGTGTGGCAGATGCTCAGGGAGGGGCTCTCTCAGGAGATGACATTTACAAAAACGCCTGTGGGTGAGGGACCCCAGACGGAGGGAGCCGCTGGTGCCGGGAGGGACAGGGGTGGGCCCTGAGCTGGCTGGGGGCCGCGCGGTCTCTGTCTCGGGCATAGAGGGCGAGAACGGAGGGCGGACAGGCCTCAGCAGCTGGAAACGCAGTGCTTATCTGAGCTGAGCCACTGGTGGGACAACTGCGCCGTGTTCGGTGGCGGGGTGAGCACGAGAGAACGGCGGAGGAAGAGCCCAGCAGAAGCCAGAGAGCGAATCTGTTCCGAGGTTATGCTTTGTTAAATGTTGGAAAACAAACTGCAGTGGGGAATCCCCTCAGAGATCACTTCACCTCCGCGCCAGAGAGGATGGCGGGCTGGCAGGAGTGGAATGGGAGTCCGGCGGGCAAGGAGTTGAGTTGGAGGCAGTTAGAAACAGGACTTCCTAGTGTGTTTGAAACGAGCTAACACGGAATGAAATCCGGTATGAATACTTGGTGTTTGAGGAAGGAGATATTTTTGTTTTGTGATTTTGGAAAACTGAGGGGGAAGCAATTCCTAGGTGGGGCCTGTGGTTTCTCTCTTTAACATGACTCGATACACGTACGTGAGAAAGGTCACTGCGGTTCCATTCACTGAGGGAGAGAAGCAGCCTCCGATGCTACTCGAAAGCCCCTGGTCTGGGCAGCGTTGGCCGACACCCCTGATGCGGGCTCTCTGGATCCGGAGACGATGTAGTGCGTAGAGGTGAAAAGAGAAATCGGAACCCGTTGCGGGAGACAGAGCTTGCACTGTCCCCGCAGGAAGAAAGCTTCGTGGGGCAGGTCTTCTCCGGAGACCCAGCATGCAGCTCAGGCAGCCCTGTCAGCATCTGCAGTGACCAAAACTTCCTCTTTCCACAGAACCAAAGCCAGAGGTCCACCCGTGTCCCGCCTGCGCTCTGGCCTTCTCCAGTCAGAAATTCCTCAGCCAGCACGTGAAACGCAGCCACCCCTCTCAGGGTCTCCCAGGAGCGTCTGCGAGACAGCACCCCCAAACAGAGGAGCCCTGCCCAGAGGATCAGAAGCAGCAGCAGCAGCAGCAGCAGCAGCAGCAGCAGCAGCAGCAGCGGGCGGACACCCAGAGCTGGGATGGCACCACTGAAGATCGAGAGGGCAGAGAAAGGTCCAAACCCTTGCTTAAAGGGATCCGACAGAGGAAGATTTCAAAGGCCTTTTTGAAACTTCCCAGCGAACAAATGGGGAGTTGTAGTGAGTGTGAGGGAATGATGGAGGAAAAGCCCAGCACAGGCCAGAAAGTGAATCCAGAGCACACAGAGAAATTATTTGTGGGAGTAGGGGTGTCAAGAAGTGTAACAATCAAGTATGGAAGGTGTGGGCAAGACTTCCATGATGGCTCGAAGCTCACCATACATCAGAGGACACACTCAAGGGAGAAGCCCTGTGTTTGCAGGGAGTGTGGGAGAGGCTTTGCACGGAAGTCAGTTCTCACCATACACCAGAGGACACACTCAGGGGAGAAGCCCTATGTTTGCAAGGAGTGTGGGAGAGGCTTTGCACAGAAGTCACATCTCATCAGACACCAGAGGACACACTCAGGGGAGAAGCCCTATGTTTGCAGGGAGTGTGGGAGAGGCTTTGCACAGAAGTCAGTTCTCATCAGACACCAGAGGACACACTCAGGGGAGAAGCCCTATGTTTGCAGGGAGTGTGGGAGAGGCTTTGCACGGAAGTCAGTTCTCATCATACACCAGAGGACACACTCAGGGGAGAAGCCCTATGTTTGCAGGGAGTGTGGGAGAGGCTTTGCACGGAAGTCAGTTCTCATCATACACCAGAGGACACACTCAGGGGAGAAGCCCTATGTTTGCAGGGAGTGTGGGAGAGGCTTTGCAGAGAAGTCAGTTCTCATCATACACCAGAGGACACACTCAGGGGAGAAGCCCTATGTTTGCAGGGAGTGTGGGAGAGGCTTTGCACGGAAGTCAGTTCTCATCATACACCAGAGGACACACTCAGGAGAGAAGCCCTGTGTTTGCAGGGAAGCTGAGTTAAGTCATTAGCATTAAATCGCATCTCAACAGCCATAGGACAAATGTAGCCACCACACACTTTACACCTCATCTCTGACAGGACCTTAGATAGTGTACTGGCCCTCTAGGCTCCCTAAGAATATTGTTTGTAAAGAAGTAACTGGCTAAACAAATCCTCCACTTTCATAACAAGAGATGAGTTCTTTAAAAGCTATGGTGATGTCAACACCAACCTTCTTTGTGGTTTCCTTTTTTTTGCCTCCTGTTCTAAAAAGTTTTGTCCCCACACAAATTTGAACCCCATGCACCTTATTCCCCCTTATCAGTGGCAGCAGAGAGTTGCGGGAGGGCCTCAGAGATCTCATACTCTCAGCAACAGAAAGAAACTCAACTCCTGCAAAGGCCTAAGTTTGGAGCCAGTCCAGTTAGGTTACTGCCCAGGGGAGGTATCCAGAAGGGAACCAAAACAAACCCCGGAATTTATAATAATTCATATTTATTCTTACATGTTTAAACTTCAGTCACCTTCAAAGTACTCTCCATTTGATGCAATACTCCTATCAAGATTTTTTTTCCACTGCTCAGAACTTGCTGATTTTGATGCCTTTTAATGCTTCTGCTATTTTTCCCTTTCACCTCTCTCACACTGGCAAAACATTTCCCTCTGAGGACTTTTTTCATCCAGAGAAACAAACAAGTCACTCAGGGTGCGATGGGATAAATAGGGAGGGTAGAGCGCGGGGGTCATGCCATTTGTGGTCAAAACCTGCTGAACACTCTGCGCGGTGTGGGCAGGTGCACGCGTACGTCACCCGTCGTGAAATGGGCAAACGTGTTGAAAGAGTCTTCAAAAAATTTTCACTGAGGCCGAACGCAGCCTCTCACACCACCAACTGGTGCGCAGACACAGATGGGTCCCTACAACACTCACCTGGGGGGAGCCTGGACCACAGGGGCTGGCCCTCCAGGAGGTAATTCTGTGGTTTTGATGCCCCCCTCGTATGAGACAGGCTCACCAGGGAAGGCAATTCCCTTTCTCCGCAGAAACTCCCCACCCCTCCCTTTGCTTCTCTTGTTGCTTCCCCTCCTGTCCTCCAACCTCTGGAGCCTCAGAGGTGAGAGGCAGGGAGGGGCGGGTGCGTGTGCGCGGGTGGGAGCCTGGCTCCGCAGCGCCTGGTCTGCCTCACTCTCTCTTCGTGGGCCCCCCAGGACCAGCGCCTCGCGGTGCGCAGCCCACGGACTCCCGACCAGTCGTTGCCGGGTCTGAGTCTCAGCTCTGCCTCTCCAGCTGGGTGACCTACTGCGAGATTCCCCGCCCCTCTGGGCCCTTGTCCTAGCCTGTACCACGGGAAGGTAACCCCAGCCCTTAGGTCTGACATTCAAGGCCGAGTCAGCACAGGCAGAATCTGGCACAGAGGGTGGCTGAGATCACAGGTCTCGTGCTGAACAGCTTTCGGTGCCACATCTTCCGGGTCTTTAGTGCTGGACAAGGGAAGATAAGGACAGGCTAGGGGGCTGCAGCCAAATTCAGAGACTGAGCAGACACCACCGCTTTCCCCACTCAGACTCCGCAGCCCTGGAAAGGAGGCCTGAGGTCGGGCACATGCCTCCCTCCAGGTCACGACCCTCCCACAGAGCCCGGGCAGCTTCAGAGCCTCCTCCATACAGGCAGGCGGTACTGGGAACAACCTGTGGGCCTAGGCCCTCGGCCAGTGCCTGCTGGGAACTGAGTCTGGGGGCAGCATCTGCCTGACCCGGGTGCCCCTTGCCTGCATGCGGAGTTTGTGAGCCTGATCTCAGCAGCTTCTGCAATGCTCTTACCTTGGCCCTTGGCCCTGTGGGGCCTAATACACCACAAACACCGTCTCAAAACTCTCATTTATTGAATCTTTAAACCTGTTTGTTACGTGAAGTCTGCTGAGACAGTGCACACGCTGTGAGCAGAGCAGATATGCGCAGCATTGGTCATTCCTGGCCGCCCATTCCCAGACCATGCCCGCGGTGGCCCAGGAACACAGAATTCCTGGGGACCCAGTGCGTGGGAGTCCAGGGAGACTCAGGGTGAGAACAGGGTACACACCTACCTGTGTGCAAGTGAGGGGGCCCCGCCCCCGGGGCCAGGGTTCTCTCAGGGCCAGCGCTGACTTGAACACAGAGACGGCACACAGCGAGGCCCCATCATACCCTCCTCTGCATGAGGGGGGCCTACGCGTGACCCATCCAGTTCCTGCTGGGGTGGGTTCACCAAGGGGGGACACCCACCCCCATGACCTGAACAACAACCTTTCTGTCTCTCTCCCAACACCAGGCTTGTGAGGAGAGTCTACATGAACTATGTGGATTTCCATAATAAATACCAACTATTGTTTTCTCTTTTTTGTCATGCTTTTGTTAAAAAAAAAACAAAAAACAAAAAAAGGTGTGTGTCTTGGGTTGTGCTTCTTTCCCTGGAGAGAACGCCATAAACTTTCCACGTTCTGTGGCTCCCGGCATGGGCAGCGGGAGGGGCAGCGTGTGCTGTGATGCGGGCAGAGGGGCTGCCACCGGGCTGCACAGTGGGGAGCAGGACCCACAGGCTGCCAAGGGGCGGCCGCCTCCACCCCCACGAGGACTGACCCCGGAGCCCACGGATCCAAGGTGAGCGGAGAGTGGTCTGTTCCCTCTCCCTCCCCTTCAGCAGCAAACCGCGTTCTTAGTGTGGCTGCCGGCCTCCTGGACGCCCCCAAACCCACATGCTGTCCCTCGGGCAGTCCTCGTCCAGCCCCTCCTCCACACAACTGGGCTGGTCCGTGTTGTGAAGAGGGTGTGCGGCTCTCAAAGGAAGTCGGAAACAAACCCTTCTGCTTCAGCCTTGCTGGCACCGTCACATAGTCTCAGATTGCCCTGTGCAGGCAGCTGGGTGTTCACAGACCCCGCCCGCCCACCTGTCAGCAACTGGCAGCCACCAGCCTTGTTCTGAAGAGGAGGCTCCAAGGAGTGCGTGCAGCCTGACATCTGCTGGATTCTGAGTCTCTTGTCCCCTGACAGGCCCTGAGCTCACTGTCCTGTCCCTGTGACATCTGGCGAGCCTCCAAGGCCTCTCCAGCTGCACCTGTTGGCTTCCCAACCCCTCCACCTCACACTGCGATGTCCCTGGATGGGACAGGCCAACAATCCGTGGGCAAAAAGGACATCAGCCGCTGAGGTGACAGGACATCGTGGCCAGCTGCCTCCATCACTCCCTTCCCTCTGTGACCACACACAGTGGCCACCCCACCTGGTTTATGTTCTGGTTGTATCCCACCCAGGTGAGGGAGTTGCAGGCGAGCTGGGGGGCCAGAGCTGGCCAGGTGAGGGGGTCACTCGCCAGAACAGTCAGCCACGAACGCAGCACAGCTCGCCGCCCTCCGCAGCTGGGGTCAGGGAGGCCTCTCCGGGACTTGGCAGGTTTGTCTTGGCTCCCAGGCTCGGCCCTAACTGTGCCTGACCTGGCCCCAGGCCTGGCGCCCACACCAATGGCCCTGGGCAGGGTTGGACCCAGCCTCTGGGAGCTGCCCTTGGGGAGGAATGTCACCCACAGATGCTGTCTTCAAAGATCGGACTTCTTAGGATTTACTGAGGAAGGCTTTAAAAAAAATCATTGTTTAGGCTGACAGCGTGTCTCCGCTGGTTGAGCTGTGTCCTGTAAACCAAAAGGCCGCAGGTCGATTGCCAGTCAGACCGTTGCCTAGGCTGTGAGTTCGGTCCCCAGCCGGGAAACATGCAGGAGGCAACAGATCGATGTTTCTCTCACTCTCTCTCCCTCTTTTCCCCTCTCGCTAAAATCAATAGACATGTCCTCAGATGAACATAAAAATAAATAGGGGGGGGCGAGTGGCGGTGGAAGAGGAGATAAGGGAACAAATGGTAATGGAAAAAATACAATAAAACAGAATTATTAAAATAATATTAAATAATAAACAAAATAAAATTAATAATCATGTCTTTGAGTGATGGTAGAAAAATAATGTTTAAAAGTAAGAGGTGGTTAATCTCGTCTCCCAGAGAAAGCTCCAATGCCCACCTCGGCCTCAAGAGGCAAAAGAGAGACTATCCCTCCCATCTGCTTCCCAGAGGATGGCAGAGGCCCATTCCCAAAAATGTAGGTCAGGAATAGCAAAGGGCAGACTCTGGTCTCGTTCAGAGAGCCCTGCTGAGAGGCATTTAGACCTGATGGGGCTTCTTCTTTGCAGGTTCTGTTTCTGTGTCATCTTCAGATCAATTCAGACCAGGACGAGGAAGCCTGAGTGTTCCAGACATCACCGCCCTGCGTGCTGAGGAGCCTCCTCGGGGTGTTTGTTGTAAGAGGGGAAACAGGCTGCTGGTGATGACACCCCTGGGCGGGAAGAAGCACCCACGATGTTGTGTCTCCTGTGCGGTTTCGGGGGATGCTGGAGCCAGGGGTGACGATGCATTTCCTAAATATTTCAGAGAGCCACTTGACTTGTGAAGTTGTTAAAAAGCATTTTTAAGCCCCTTTCTCATTTCAGGGACTGCACACGAGGGTTAACAGGGTGGAAGGGGCCGGGCGGCAGGGGAAGGGGCGTCTGAGCTCAGAGTGGGCAGCAGCAGCTGACAACAAATGAAACCGGAAATTCTGCGTGAGAGGACATTCCGAGGGCTGCCTCCTGCCCTTCCCACCCGACACGGGCAGCCACGGCTGCGTTCCCTCCTGCTCTTCCCTTTTCCATCACTGTGGTGGCTTCGTCCCCACAGCAAAGCACCAGCCGTGTCCTGATGACCATGCAAGAGGCCCTTTCATGGACCAAACTCCAGAGTCTTGATTCGACCCCGGGGATGCACGGGCCCCACCCAGCTCCTCCTCTGGCTTGTGTGCTGGCCCCGGCCCCTGACAGGAGGCCAGTGTCCGGAAAGGACTCCCCTGTCATTGTCAGGGAAAGAGGGACAGAGGGCCTGAGAGCAGTGGGACAAGTGGAGGGAGGAGACCTCAGGCGGCCACATCCCCTTCCTTCCGGTCCCTGATGGTTCCGTGTTAACGAAGGACGGTGTCCCCACAGCTACGGCCCTGTCAGAAGAAGCCCTAACTGTTTTTAAGTGAATAAACAAATAACTTTGAAATTGTTACAATAATTGGGTGGATTATGCTGTTTACATCACTTCGTAGGCAGTACTACCGTCTGTATAGAAAGGGAACACACGGCATCGTGGATTTCTGTGCTGGTCTGCGTCGCCACGCTGCTCGCCACAGACACTGTTGCCACCGACACTGTTGCCACATAAACTGCCCTCCCCGTCACCCCCGCAGGAACCACCAGGATGCGGGTCACGGCAACAGGCACAGCCCTGCAGCGCAGCCGCGGCTCGCAGCACCGGAGCCTCCGCACCGCGCGCGCGCTCGCGCCCTCAGCCCGCACACGGTCTCCGCGGGGCGCTCCCTCCCCGGCCTGACCGGCAGGATGCGGGGTGGGGACAGGAGGGCCCACTGGGTGGGGTAGTTGATGCTCGTCCCAGCCGATGGGCACAGACACCAGCCAATCAGAGCAGACACCTGATCAGAGCGGACTCCTAATCGGAGCATGCACCAACTAATCAGAAAAGACACCTCCCGCAGACGGCGGCCCCGAGCACAGGCCTCCCCCTGGGGCTCCTGCCCTCCCCCACCCCGCCCCCCAACCCCGTCGTTGCGACTGGACAGCTGCACAGGCAGGAGCCCCTCGCTACCGGGAGGACGAGACACAGGCCCAGGAAGACGGAGCAGACAGACAGTCGGGCCTCTGTGTGCGGATGGTGTGACGGGAGCAACAGCCCAGCTTGTTGCCCGCGCCTCCCTCGCGGACGCCGGCCCTGCGGGGGCAGCGGGCCGCGCGGGCTGCTCAGTGAGCGGGCAGCCAAGACCCTGAGCCGAGACCTGGGCACCAGGCTGGCCTTGTTGCTGTCTGCACACGCACTGACCACAGGGACGCCCAGGCGTCACTGCAGCTGAACGGTCACAGGAAGGGTGCCTGTGGCCGCCCGCACCCCCCGCCCGCGCGGCGCTGTGACAGGAATCTGTGGTTGGAGTCAGAGCCCGGACCCTGCGCCCCGGGCAGCCATTTCTGGGTTTTGCCTGGACTCTGCTGCCGCCCTGTGTCCCCATCCTTGGCGGGCAGAGCGCTGCTCTTGCCCTGGGGCAGGGGAAGGTCAGCGGGTCCGGGAGAGGCCCAGAGGGTTCCAACGAGACACCTGCCTGAGGACCACTGGCCTGAGCGACGCTGCGGCCCCACACAGTGACACCAAGCCACCAGGGAGCCTCGTCCAGGAGGGGCGCACTGGCCCTGGCTGGGCACGGTCCGGCGGAGGCCCCGCGGGCGGCGCTGCTGTCGGGGAGCAAGAGTCCGGCTGTCGCTGAACTCGTCCCCTTGGAGGTCGCCCGCGTGAGCCGCCTGGGGGTGCTCGGCGCGCTGTGCAGGCAGACGGCTGCGCGGGGCTCGGCCCGGGGGTCCCGGGGAGGCTGGGCTCACCCGCCCAGGGCCACCCAGAGCGCGGGGGAGGAGCCCCTGAGGCGCCCACCTGGAAGGACTGTCCTCTCCGCAGCTGCCGGGCCGGGTCCCGTGAGGTGCGGAAGGCGAGGCTGACGGGCGGCCCCACCGCTCAGCGCTCTGCTCAGAAGCCCAGTGTGGTGGCTTCAGGCCGTCCCCTCCCGGAAATGACCTGAGGAGACTCACCTGCACTGGGATCCGATCACTGTATCCGCAGTCCCAGCACCAGAGAATGGGTCCTGGGACCCCTTGAGTTACGTGTCCAACACGGATGTGGGGGGAGGAATCTGGGGAGCATTTTCTGCAGAGCCATTTCATTTTGCCACTGGCAGAGGTGTCTTGTGGGTTCCATTTCTGATTCACTCCGGTAAGGCCTCGGGGCGCCCTCTGCCCAGGCCTGGCCCCGGTCCGGGGGCCCCTGCTCCTTAGGACAGTCTCCCCTCTCCTGGCTCACCCAGGCTGCCAGGACCCAGCCGGAGCCTTCCCTCTGCCAAAGGGGACAGAGCCTGGGCTGCCTGTGGGCCACCCAGGCCTTTGACCAAACGACTCGCCTTGCAGGGGCCCCAGGGCTCCCAGCTGGAGTCCAGCAGGAGGGGGCCAGGGGGACGAAAGCGACAGCTCGGCTCCGTCTGGGCCCGGCCAACCGTCTCCGCCTCGGGAGTTGTTACCGCCCCTTCTCCACGGCTGGGTAAACCGAGGCACCGTTGCCGGACCTGTGCGGCGGGGGCAGAAGGGATCGGGGCCCGACCTAACCATTCGGAGGCTCCCATCGCAACCCCGACTGTCCCAGGGCGGAAAGAGTCTGCCCTGTTTCCAGGACTCTCGGTGGCGGCCCCCGCCGGGCTCAGCGCCCCACCTCCGGCCAGAGCCCGCCCCGCCCCGCCCCGCCCCGCCGCGCCGCCCCGCCCCGCGCCGCCGCGCAGGTCCCCTCGACTCCACTTCCGCCGGGAGGAGGCTCTGCATTGGCAGGTCTGTGGGTGCGATCGCTGGCCTGGTCCCCTCGGGAGCAAAGTCCCCGGGGCCTTGCTGGTGGCCCGGGATGGACTCCCCACCCCCCACCCCCGGGTTGGATCGGACACGTGGATCTGGGTCCTGGGAGGGGACAGGGGCCGGCCGAGCCGGCCGGGAAGGTGCCCCTCTGGTGGTGACGGGTGTGGGGTGGCCTCTGGCATCTCTGGCGGCTCCAAATCGGCGGCATGAGCTCGGGGGCCGCCCCGCGGCTGCGCTCGCTCCAGCGACACCTGGGGTCCCTGGAGGTAGGCACTCCCGCCCCTCGTCTGCCCTGGCGCAGGTCCCGTGAACCAGGGGACACTGAGCTGAGTTCTGAGAGGAGGGCAGACCCGGTCCGGCCGTCCACGCCGGCCTTGACCCGCCGGGCGCCGGAGGTACCCCGTCCGGGGCTGGGCGGGGGAGGGGACCTAGTGGGGGCAGCTGGGGTGAGCGTGGCTTATGAACTGGATTTCACTGTGTCCACACCACAGCCCCGTGGGCCGATCAGTAACCCTCCCCCCGGGCCCTTTGGGACTCTGCTCCCACGGGGTGTTTACTCTAAGGTGTTGCAGCCGGTGTGGACAAAGGCTCACCCTGTCTCTCTCTCCCGGCCCAGGGCAGAGGTATGGAGCCAGCCAGCCCGCTGACCACACATGTGCTGGACACTGCCTCAGGGCTCCCAGCCCAGGGCCTCTGCCTCCGGCTGTCCAGGCTCGAGGACCACGGCCACCAGTGGACTGAACTGAGGACGAGGTAGGGGTCTGGGGCAGGACTGCAGCCCAGGCCACCCGCCCCGGGCACCGGGCCGGCCGGAGCTCCGGCCAGTGACAGGAGCAAGTGCGGGCTCCCAGCCAAGGACTGCGCCCCCACGCACCAGCCCCGCTGACTGCGTCCTGGCCCTGCCGCCCGGCCCGGCCGGGGCAGCCGCACTCCCCCGAGGGCTGGGCGGGTCAGGGCCCAAGGAGGAACCTCAAAGCCTCCACTGTCAGCAGGCAGCATGCTGAGCACTTTGTCTCTGTCCTTCAATTCTCACGACACCCTAATGACCCCCTTCATAGATGGGGAGGCTGGGGCAGCAAGAGGCAAGGTGTGATCGCACCCCGCCTGGCGCAAGCCCCTCACAGGCCTGGCTCCTACCCCGTGCGCGGCTCAGGGGGGCCCGGTGGGGAGCCCCAGCCCAGGCTGGCACTCCGCTGGCGCTGTGGGCAGGGACGCGTGCTCCACCTTGGGGGAGGCAGGCTCTGCTGGAGGTGGAAGTGGGGACGGGTCCCTAAAGGGTCTGGACCGCGGCGTGGAGCTCGTCCCCTCCGTTTAGCCCCTCTCAGAAGCTGGGGGCCCAGGCCCCGTCGGACGGCCAGCTCTCGTCTTGGAAAAACACGAGGAGTCCCCTGTGGGGTCGCACGGACCCGTCCACAGCGCCCAGCGGGGCTCACGGTGCGTCCGAGCAGGGCGGACCCAGAGCCAGCACGGTGTGTCAAATGGGAAGTCCAGGTTACAGAACAGCATGAATAGGAAATCCATTTTGCATTTTTGCAAGTTTATAAATAAGCATACTTATGAATAGAGAAAATCTGGAAAAACATAGGCCACACAGAGTGACAGCTGCTCATGGGGCAGACCGGGGGGGCCTGCTGCTCCATGCTACGCCCTGGAGCCCACCCCGAGCCAGGCGGCAGAGGCGGCTGGGCTGCAGGAGGCAGAAGCCCTGGGGGCCCAGCAGGGGTGCCCCTCACCCCCTTCCCCCCACACAGCTACACCGACCCTGACGGCCGCTGCCCAGGGCTCCTGCTGCCAGGCCAGATGAAGGTGGGCACCTACAAGCTGACCTTTGACACCGAGGGCTACTGGAAGAGAAGGGGACAGGCCAGCTTCTACCCATACGTGGAGGTGAGGTCCCCAGGCTGGCCAGGACGGCGGAAGCCTGTGACTCCCTGGGACCCCCAGGTCCTTTGGTGGGCAGAGGCCCTCCCCTGCATCCCAGGACCGTGGTGGACAGTGAGTTCACCTGCTCTGAGCTCCCAGAAGAAAGGTGGCCCTGCCCGGCCCTGCCCCTGGGGTCAGGGTTGAGGGTGACTCCGCCCCTGTGGACACAGGTGGCCACTGAGCCCCATCTTGCTTCCTCCCCCTTCACTGGGCCGTTCAGGGTGGACCCCTTGGGGAGCCTGGCAGGCTCCGGGGTTCCCTCAAGGCAGCACTTTCTCTGGAGAGGATTCAGCCTTGGCCAAAGCCCGCCCCAGGCTTCCAGTTCACTGCTGGGCTCGGGCTGGCCTGGGACTCCTGCCCCACAGGACTGCCCCGTCCAGTCTGGGCTTCTGGAGGCTCCTGGGAGCCCTGGGGTCCGGTCCTCAGCCCTCACCTGAGCCTCTGTCCTCAGGTCGTCTTCACCGTTGCAGACGAGACCCCCAAGCTCCACGTCCCCCTGCTGCTGAGCCCGTGGTCCTACACCACCTACCGAGGGAGCTGAGCGCCGATGCCGCCGCCCGGCCTGGGTCGCGCCGCCCTCCACAGTGGGCTCTCTGCTCCTGGGGGTGCTCACTCCCCACTTCCTGGGGCGGTTCTGCCCCCCCACGTTTCCAGTGTCAATAAAGTCTGCATGGCACCCGCGGGCTGTCGCGGTCACGGGCCGCACCCTGCTGGGGGTGGCGGCCCACGGCGGGAAGGGGCGCAGGGGCGGCTGCAGGGAGGCAGACACGGGGGCGCTGGCGCTGTGCCACAGCCTTGCAACGGGACACGCAGCCAACGTGAAAAGCCTTCATTTGCTGACCTGACAAATCCAAGGCACGCCTTCCGCCCGCGGTGTGTACGAGGGGTGCTGTGCAGGGAGGGTCTCGGGCGGTGCTACGTTGGGGTGGCCACGAGTCCCGCAGGGCCCTGGCCCAGGGTCTGCCCCATCACGGCTGTCTCCAGGGGCTTGAAGCCCACGCTGTCCAGGGGGATCCCGAAGGCCTGGAGCTTCGCCTCGTAGGTGCGCAGCAGGTCGTTGTGGGCCTATGGGGACAGAGCTGTGTCAGGAAGGCTGGCCCTCACTCAGTCCACGCGGCGCCGCGGAGGGTGGGAGGGGGACAAGAACCACGGGGGAGCCCCCTCCGTGGCCCAGAAGAGCACAGGTCTGGGCAACAGACATGGTTTCTGTTCCCTCCGCTGGAAAAGGATGCTTTTAAAGGGTGAACTTCACTCGATGGCTCTCAGGGCTGAAGGGGCGATACCCGCAACGTGCTTGGAGCACGACCCGACTCGGAGCCAAGCTCCACGGGCGCCTCCCCCTCACCATCGGCAGGAAAAGGACGCTGGGGCTTGGAGTCCACAGTGAGTCGGCCACCGAGGCCGAGCGCCAGAGGGTCCTGGGAGGCTGGGCCTGGCTCTCACCCTCCGCTGGGGCAGGGGCTCTGCACAATCAGATATGGCTTCTGGGGTCCCCTGAGCTGCAGACCCGTGGAGGGCCCCGATTTTCTGTGTGCAAGTATCAGGGTGCAAGGGTGGCTGAGGGAAGGGTCCAGACGGGCAGACGAGGCTGGGGAGGGCCCAGGTGGCAGACACCGCTTTCCCCTCACGGCTGCGCAGCCCACAGCTCCCATGTGATGCCTGCCCCACAGAACCGTGGGCACAGCCGCGTCACACAGGCTGCTCTCAGGAAATGCGTCCGCAGGCAGCTCTGCGTCTGGGCCCACACAGGCGAAGCCCAGGGCCAGGAGCACTGGGGGGCCGGACCCTGGCCTCCGGGGCTCATGGGACGGACGACAGTGGGTCAGGGCGCTCACTGCCCCCGCCCCCAGCTGCCGAGCCAGGGGGAGGCTGCAGCCTTCATCACATGTCCAAAGGAGTCAGAAAAGGTTAGACCCAGAACGGTCCCTTAACCGCAGACCAGAAGAGGCCCCTCCCTTCACCTCAGAGGCCAGGTCAGATAGGGGACAGGAGGGGCTGCCTGGCGCGACCACCGGCGCACCGGGCAGGCCCCAGGAGGGACACCAGGGGGCGCCGCCCGCACCTTGCAGACTCGTGCCAGTTCGTACTGCAGGTCCTTGATGGTGCTATTCTTCGACTCCAGGACATCCTGAGGAGAGAGGCAGGCGTGAGCTCGTGGCTTGGTTTTGGGCCAAGGCAGAAGGGGCGTCTGGGGCTCTGGCTGGCGCCCCAGGAGGAGGCCACAGGGGAAGGTCTCCAGGGAGGAGGGGGCCGCACCGGCCTCGGGAGGACAGAGGAGCAAGCCCGGCAAGACCAACCAGGAAAAGCAAGAGCTGACCCCTGGCCGCAACTGCGGGGACCCTTGCGCGCGGGGACAGATCCCCCCTCATCACGTCCCCGGTGATTCACACGGAAATGGGCACCGAGTCCAGGGTGAAACCCAGCACCAGGAGCACAGGGCTGGCCCCTGACCCACCACGTCCTGAGTGCCCAGCCCCCAACAGCCTGTTCTGGGTGACGCAGGACCCCCAGGCCCTGCGGCCACGGAGCATGGGCCCAGGCTCACTCCGGCACCCCCAGCCCTGCCTTGGCCGGCAACGCACCCACCCTGCCCCGGGCCTCCCTGCAGGGCCTGTGGGCTCTCAGAGCCAGCGCATCCTGCCAGAGCCTCCCGCCGTCCCCTGCCGGCCCCAAACTCGGGCGCGGCTGACAGCGTTAGAGACGTCCCCACCCAGCCTGCAGCACAAAACGCCTCAGGGGCCTGCAATGCTCTAAATACAGACAGGGAGACAGGCGCCTGGACGGCTGACCCGCATGAGGACGTCACTTCAAAATGCTGCCGGGGCCGCTTCCCAGGGTACCACGCCTGCCTGCCAACAGCGTCCACACCTGCGTCCCAGGAGGACCCGCCCTCCTGGAGCCGCCTGCCGCTGGGCAGGCCACTGGGTGCAGGCGCGGAGGTCAGCCGCACACCCGCGTCTGCCTGCCAGGTCCCCACAGCCTGGCAGCGGCAGGTCGCCCAGCTGGCCGGCACCTGCGCCCCCGCCACACTCCCCTGGAAGCACCAACACCCCTTACCCCACTTCACCCCTCTGACCCCGAGCACCAGGTCCAGGTAACAGAGGGACAGGCCCCCCTCCGGGTGAGAGTGGACCTGCCGGGCGCTGTGGGGCGTCTGCCTGCTGGGGTCCAGGCAGCACGCGTCACTGTCCCGATGCCCCGGCCGACGCTGCTGGCCTGTGGCTTCATCCACCCTGTCTGCTGCTCTGTCCCGAGCCAGGCCCATCCCAGCACAGAGCAGCCCCGGGAAGGACTGGACCCGAGTGCAGATGCTCCAGCCTCTGCCGAGATGTAACTCCCCCTGGGCAGCCCCCCCCCAGCAGCCCCCGCAAAGGCCCACAGTCAGAGCGGCACGTCCTGGTGTCCTGGGTGGGACCCAGCTCGGCAGCTTCGCTGAGCACGCAGGAGACTCTGCCGTCTGCCGGGCCCATGGCTGGGTCGGCCACCAGAGGCCCAAGGAGCTCAGGCTCAGGACTAGGAGAGCGGCCGAGACCCAGGGCCTGACTGGCTCAGCTGAACCCGTCCTGAGAAGTGGACGGGGCCGTGGCCTCAGGGGCGTGAAGGTGCTGAGGGTAGGAAGGGAGGGGAGCAACCTCAGGTGGGAGGGGTTGGAGTGAGAGCAGAGCCGCGGGGAGTGTGGGGAGCACCCCCCAGGACTGACCGAGGGTCCCACTGAAAGATTGGAGGCTGGACACACGCTGGTCTCATCATAAGACAAGTGACCCCCCAGCCAGAGCCCCGGCCACCCGGGGGGCAGGAGCATGGGCCCGGTCCAGCTCCCGCAGGGCCCGCGCAAGGCCCACCTCCAGTTTGCGGGACACCAGGGCCAGGGCCTCGGGGTCCAGGTTGGAGGCAGCCAGCACCTCATTGAGCTGCACCTCCTTCTTCTCCACGGCCGCCCCGAGGGCCTGCAGCTTGCGCTCCAGGACCAGGTTCCTGAGGCCTGCCTTCTGCTGCACGTCCAGGATGGCGGCAGTGAACTTCCCGTAGAGCTCGTCCCGCTCCTGCTGCACCTGCGGGGACCCTCCCCTGAGCCACTCCTGCCCGGGGCCGGGACACAGCCCTGGCTGGGCCCCCGCCCCAGGCCCGCCAGGCGAGCCTGCCGTCTGTGGCTGCCGGGGCCCCTCTCTGCGGCTGTCACGCCATGCGAGGCGGGAGGAGGCACCAGCCGGGCCCTCCTCCAGCAGGCGTCTCCGGAAGCTGGAGGCCGCCTGATAAGAAGGGGGCGGGCTGCACAGAGGGGTCAGGCTGGCCGGGCCCTGGGTTTGGGCAGCGGGCTCGTGATAAAGCCGTCCCTGGGCACCCATGTGAAACCCAGGGCATCAAACTCCAGGGAGCAGTGCCTGGGGTGGGGCCTCAGGTCCCAGAGCCCCAGGGCTGGCCCAGCCCTGGAACCAACGGCCTGCCAGTGGACGGCAGTGCTTCTCGCCTCCAAAGCTTGTTACCTCCGACTGTGCACTGCGGAAAACCGAGGCTGCAGAAACAAGGGGAGCGAGCAGACCTGGCCCCACCCGCAGGGGCCCCGGCTGACACCTGGGCCCCTCCCTCAGGCCACCGTGGCCGGTGGGCCCCTCTGAGACGCCTCTGAAGGGGAGGGTGGGTCTGACAGCAGCGTGAGCACCCGAGAGCTGGTGCTGCGAGAAGGGAGCCCCGCGGCAGGGCGGGTGAGGCCTCTCTAGGAACAGCCTGCTGGGCAGACTCACCGAAACCGGACTGGAAACCCGGCCAGGAACTGGCTTTCCTGACACTTGCTCACAGTCGCCCAGAGATGAGCCACGGCAGCAGAGCCCTGGAGCAGGGCTGCTGCCCGGGGGAACTGGCTGCAGGAGTGACGCCATTTGCCGGGGCACGGAGGGGGCGGGGGGCACTGGGCATCTGGGCGCCGCGGGGGCCACACCCGCCTGCGCCCACAGGGGCAGCTGTGAGGACCAGCGCTGAGCAGCAGGGGACCCTGTCATTTTCGCCTGCAGGCTCAGGGCTCCCTGACGCCCTCGCAGTGTGCATGTCTGCGCATGTCGGAGCTCAGCACCAACAGCGTGCGGGTGGAGGAGCTGGCGCTCACTGCAGGGACCCCAGCGCCTCAGGGGTGAGCCTGCGGGGCAGGCGGCAAGCTGCTCCCACAGGGACCCGCTCTGTGCGGGGCCCGGGCCGTCCGCAGAACAAGCCACGGGCTTCGGCCCCAGAGCTGCGCAGAGCGCAGAGCAGGCTCCGGGGGAGGGCCCTCTCCAGCCGGCCGCGCTGCCAGCTGCTCACCTTGACAAACCGCTGCTCCAGCACCTCATGTTCCCACTGCAGGCTCTTGAGGTCTTTCTCGGTGACTTTCAGACGGGCCTGTGTGCACTGGGGAGAAGCGGGGGGTGGGGGGCAGAAGGCTCTTAGGCTCTGTGATGCCGTGCCAGGGAGAGGGCCAGGACAACCACCAGCCCCAGGAAGAGCCGGCTCAACGGCACCTGGGTCAGCCCCTCCGGGGCGGGAGGGTGGGCACACCTATCTCCCAGGCCACGCGGCTCTGCGTTCGCTCCAGGCCTCCGGTCACAGAAGAGACTCGGCCCCCTCTGGCCCCGAGGGCCCCACTGTGCACGGGCCGCGGAGCCTCCCCCAGGCGCCCCCTCTCTCCTGAGCCCCGAGCCAGGGAGGGCGCACCGGGCACTCACAGCCAGGGTCTGCTTGTCCCGCTTGTGGTCTCCCAGCCTCCTCTGCATCTCGCTCATCTCCTCGCGGGCCTTCTGCAGCGGGTCCGCCAGGCGCCGGTTCTGTGCCGTCACCTCCTGCATCTCCCTCTCCAGGTGCTCCTCCTTCTTCCGCATGTCCTCCATCTGCTCCTGGGGGCGCGGGGCGCGGGGTAGGGGCACGGCTCAGCGGCGCTGCACTCCCCTGCACTGCAGAGCGGGGACGCCTAGACCTGTCTTGTGTGTGAACACACACGCCTTGAACATTCCCGGAACTTTCTGGAATGCCACCTCCACGAGGCCAGGCTTTGTTCAGGATGCCCAGGAGGGCACCCCCATCGTGGAAACTCCCTCCCCGCCAGCACTTGGGGGACGACACCTCGCGTGTCGCGTGCTGGGCTCCCACCACGGTCCTGCTCAAGCCTCCAGACAGCACTGTCCTCCCAACTTCCCTGCCCTCCCCCAGCCGCAGGCATAGAAAGGTTACACGACCTGTGAATTCCACTCAAGAACAGGGAGGGGCAGCATCAAAAACACTGTTGTAACAGGGGCTGGGTCTCGGGGGCGGCACCTTGAGGGAGGTGATGAGGGCCAGGTTGTTGAGGGTGATGTCGTTGTAGTAGTTCTTCATGTCCGTGAAGGCGTCCTCGTGCCGCTGCATCAGCGTGCTGATCTGGCCGTTCTTCCTCTCCTCCACTTCGTGGATCTCGGTCTTCCTCCGCAGGTCCAGCTCATCCCTAAGCATCTTCATCTTCTTATCATACTTGGCCTCAATTTCTGAAAGGCAGCAGCGTGCACAGCAGCTCAGCGGAGAGGAACAGCCGGCAGGACCGAGGCTGCCAGAGAACACGGCTGCGCTGAGTGTTCTGCTGGCGCTCGGGGCACGCACCCCGCTCAGAGCCGCCTGCCGTCCTTCCCTGAGGCAGCTGCTGCCACTCGGCCCCTGCAGGGGGCCCCCAAGGGCTGAGCAGCCGCATGCCCCCGCGGCCATGAGCCACGACCCGTGCGGCCCCCCAGTCACAGCTCGGGGTTTTGCGGCGAAACCAGACAGAGCTCCTCAGGCTGGGAGCTGTGGGAAAGGCTGAAGAGCGACCCCCTGCTCCTGGTCACTGCTCTGGGCTAGGCGTGGGGGAGTGGGTGGGGACCTCCGCCTTCCCCAGCGACAAGGGAAGAACTTGTTCTGGGATTCTGAGCGTCCATCAGCCGTGGCGACAACCACATCCTCGCTCCAGGCACACGCGGGCTGTGGTAGCTGGCCCGTCAGCCCTGCAGTACTAAGCCCTGGAGGTGAGCCACCTTCTGCCAGGCACTGACCTCGCACTTGCCTCTCGAAGTCGTTCCGCATCTTGGTGATCTCCTCCGCGTGCTTCTACAAAGGCGGGAGCAGGGGGTTGCCAGGTGGCAGGCAGAGAGGCCACCCCCTCGGGCCGCCCCCGCCCTTGCAGCTGTGGCACAGCCAGCTCCGTGGACCCTCGTGGGCCGTGCCCAGGAGAGCAGGGTTTGGTGACCGCCACATCTCATCGCTCCCTGCCTCTGGCTAAGTCCGCTCTGGGCTGGAGAGGACGATGGCAGCGCGGGGTGCAGCGACCCCCCACCTGGCCTGCCGGGGTGAGAGCCCGGCCCCAACACGCGCCTGCAGGCTCCCTGGGCACCTGAGCTGTGGCCTAGAGCAGCGCGAAAAATTATTTCAATAGATGGTTATTGTATTAAAAGTCTCGATAAAAAACGTTAATTATTTTTATAGCAGTATTTTTACACAGAAGGAACTCTGACCACATAGCTGGTCGGGCCTCGGGTGAGCAGACAGTCTCACGTTGCTGAGTGCACGGGAGACAAGCCTACTATGTGCCTGTGTCAGGGAAGACCAGACTGTGAGGGTCCAAAACTTTGCATCCCCAGACTTGGGTGCAAACTCTGCAATTCTACATTTTTTCCCCAGACGCAATTGAGGCAGGGCTGCCTTCACATGAGGTATGTGTGTTGACAGAGTGTCCTCACCCTGCAGCCAGGAAGAACACTTGGAACCAAAGTCAGACACATACCCCCCCCCCCGGCCCAAGCCCTCTGCAGGCCCCCAACTCGGCCACGGCCCAGGCCTCCCGGGGCTTCTGAGGCCGGGACCAGCTCTGGCCTTCACCCTGGCCCATCCCTGCCTCTTCTCCTGGCCCGGCCCGCCAGCCTGGCTCAGCCCTCACTGCCTTTGCCCAAACGTCCCCTTCTCAGGGAGGGGTCCCCAGACGTCCCTGCAGGGAAGTGCAACAGCCTGCCCCCCGAGCAGCCCCTCTCCCCGGTCGGCCTTTCCTGACAGCCCAGGACTCGCTGGGCCTCCCCCACACTTGTCAGTGTGGCTTCTCCTTCGTGGGCCGTCCGCCCCACACGTAAAGGGGTCTGGCAGTCCTCCCCAGGGGTCCAAACAGGGCCTGGCGCCTGGTACTCAGCAAACAAATGTTGACTCCCCACCAGAACCTCCCTCCAGCCTCCCTCAGGGTGGACCGGAAGGTCTCAGAAGCAGGCCAGGTGCTCACGAGCCCAGCCTGCAGGACAAACGGCCACGGCCACCTGGGCACTGGTGGCCCGCGGTAACGGCCGTGTGTTCCCCAGGGCACCAGACGCATCCTGGGGAGGGGCTGGCAGTCGGGGTCCACAGCACGTGCCGAGGAGCCCTGAGCGGGGCCTTCCTCATGTCCACCTGCCCCTCAAGCCAGACACAGGGCTCTGCACCTGCCCCCAAAGTGGGTCTGCTCGGCTGCAGGCTTTTTAAAAGATTATGTCCATTAATTGCGAAAATGCGGGAGTTTTTAAACAAAAATGTGAACTCCCAGTTGCCGCTGACTGCTCCGGCGCAGCACCCCACCCCCCCCCCCCCCGCCGCGGCCGGCAGAGGGACCCACCAGCCGCAGGTTCTTCACCACCACCTCGTGGGCCAGCTCCTGCTCCTTGAGCTCCACCTTCAGCGTCCGCACGTCCTTGCGCAGGGCCCCCTCCTGCGTGCGGTGCTCCTTCTGGGCCAGCTTCATGGCCACGGTGCCCTCGGCCTTCATCTCCGTCAGGCTGTTCTGGTGCTCATATAGCAGGTGCTTCACCTTCTGCTTGTAGACCTGCAGGCGGGAGAAGCCCGGCCTGCTCACCAGTGCGCAAACGCACACCTGCTCACACATGGCTGCACACACGTGCTCACGTACTCACACACCTACACATGCAAGCTCACCTACTCTCACACAGCTGCACACGCATGCTCACCTGCATGCGTATAATCTTTTATAAAAAAATACCTTCAGGTTCCCAGTGCAAAGTACACAAAGGGCTGTGACCCCCCCCCAAAAGCAGGGAGAGGAAATGCCCCCAAACCGCCCAGCATCTCCGCAGTGACCCCACAGGGACAGGCCGGCCGGCCGGCCCCACTCACCTTGATCTCCACCTGGTGCCTCTCCTCGGCCTCCTCCATCTCCCGGTCCTTGTTCCGCAGCTCGGCCTTCTTCTCCTCCAGCTGCCTCCGTGTGATCTCCCAGAAGGTGTGGATCTTGTCCCGCTCCAGCTGGAAGTAGTTGCGCTCCTCCCGCTCACGGTCCAGCTCCTCCCGGATGCGGGCGATGTGCCCCTCCACCTGGGGGCAGAGCAGAGCTGTGAAGGACCCAGCCGGGCCCCCCACCTGGGGGCGCCTGGGAGGAGAGAGCCAAGCAAGAGAGAGGGAGGGGCCCCTCTCATCCAAAAACACAGATTGTTGAAAGGCATTAAAGCAGCGCTAGGAAGGCTCTCGGGACAGGATACACTCAGCAAAGAGCAAATATCTGATTTTGGCCAATAATCATAGGATTATATATTTTCTTCCATTTCTGGGAATTTATATAAGAAAATTTCTGGAAAGAACACAAGAGCTTTCTCCTCAAAGATATTAGCCACACCATTATTGAAACAGCAAAAAAAATTTAAAAATAAATGATCTAAGATAATTTTAAATACAGAAATGTTTGAAAATTAGACTCTATCAACTAGAAAATTATATGGCACCAAGATACATACAAGGGAGCACCCCAAAAAAACCTGGAATTACATTCTGGAGGGTGGGCCCCTTGTGGTCCAGGCTCCCCCAGGTGAGTGTTGTAGGGACCCATCTGTTCCGCGCACCAGCTGGTGGTGTGAGAGGCTGCGTTCGGCCTCGGTGAATTTTTTTTGAAGACTCAACGTGTTTGCCTATTTCACGACGGGTGACGTACACGTGCACCTGCCCACACCGCGCGGAGTGTTCAGCAGGTTTTGACTAAAACCAGCCATGACCCCTGTGCCCCACGCTCCCTATTTACCCATTCTCGCCCCAAGCGACTTATTTGTTTCCCTGGATGAAAAATATTCAAAGGGAAACATTTTGCCGCTATAGAAGAGGTGAAACAAAAAACAGCAGAAGCACTAAAAGGTGAGTTCAAAAACCGTTCTGAGCAGTGGGGACAGTCTTCATGAGCGCATTGCCTCAAACGGAGAGGACACCGGAGGTGACTGAAATTTACACATGTGAGAATAACACACAATTTTTTATAAATAAATTCCCAGGTACCCCCTCGTAGGTATGAAAATGATACGGCACCATAAAGACACATTCAGAAAATGATGTTGAATGGAAAATCATTCACCTTTAAAGATATACGTTAAGCAAAAAACATAAAGAGCCAGTAGATCCCTAACAATGAAGAGATTTGGCCCAGAGCCAACCGTCCATCTGCAAATTGGGTAAAAAAAAAAACCCCAAAACCAGAAGAGGCTCCCAGGATCTTCGGAGCAGGCCTGAGCCACTGGCTGTGCCACTTCCCTCTGCGGATGGACCCCTCCCCAGAGGGTCCGGGCCAGGGACTCAGGCAGAGTTGGCTCCTGCGAGGAAGACACAGCCCCAGCGTGTGACCGGGACCGATGCAGATGACATCTTCACGTCACAGATCTTTAGCGTCACTCCGACGTCTAAACCAGGCTCCTATCTACTATGACTGTCTCACGGGCGTCAATCAATGCATGGGTTTCTTATAAACATGAAGATTTCTAGCTTCTCTTTAAAAATCAGCAAACAGCCCTGGCTGGTGAGGCTCAGTGGATTGAATGCCAGCCTGTGAACCAACGGGTCTCCAGTTGGATTCCCAGTCGGGGCACAGGCCTGGGTGGCAGTTCAGGTCCCCAAAAGGGGGCGTGTGAGAGGCAACCACACGTGGATGTTTCTCTCCCTTTCTCCCTCCCCTCCCCCTTTCTGAAAATAAATGAAATCTTAAAAAAGTAAAAACAAAAATTGGTAAACAGACAGCCCTGAGGCTCAACGCCCACAGGGTAACTGCCCAGTGAAATGAATGCAGCTGCCCTGTCCCTCACGGCTGCCTGGACCCTGGACCCTGGACCCGGGACCCAGGATCCAGGACCCTGGCACTTCCTGGGGGTCTGTCCGAGCCTCTGCAGACCGAGCCTCTGACAGCGCTGTTTCCACAGGGACCGGAAGGAAACAGGGAGATAAGAGATGGCCCCACTGTTGGGGCAATGTGGTGGGCAGCCCAGTGGTCTCCCCAAAACACAAACTGGCCGCCACCGCCCTCTGCTGAGTCTGCTCACAGTTCCCCGCGCATGGAGCAAGCCCCCACCTGGTGTCATCGACAGGCCCTGCGGCCTTAGGGGAAGCCTCCACGGGGGGCCGACTGTACCGCCGGCCAGCGGGCACAGACCGGACCCAGGCTCCTCCAGCATCTCCCAACATCACAAACGGTTTTCAAGGGCCTGGCTTAAATAAAGCCTCTGCTCCCATACGACTCCAGCCCACAGGACCCTGTCAGTCTGCTTTGTATTTATTTTTTATCTTAAACTCCGTAAAGGGAGTCAGAGCTACTGACAGCAACGCCCCAGCAGCTCAGAGCCCTGCAGCAGAGGAGCCCAGACCGCCGCCAGAGACGTGGAGGCCACAGCAGTTTATCCCGCGATCTGCCACATGTCGCCCTTCTCAGGGGCCTTCTGATCAAAACTGTAACTATACAACTATGTTCTCTAGGCCTTACCTTCATCAACATGGACGAGTGGCTTAAAATAATTCCCAGTGTTTAATGGTAAATAAAATAAACAAGAATGCTATACATCCATGCACTATCATGGCAGCTCCACCACCATCGGTGCATGAAAGGGTAAGATGGAAAGAAAATACAGAAAATTAGAAATACCTTTTAGATCAGAAAAAAAAAATTTCCTTCCAAACTCCTGCCACCCTATAAAAAAGTTATTCAATGGCTGGATTGCATTTCTTAAAAAATATGCACGAAGTGTTTGACAGCTTTGGCGGTGGAGGGGCAGTTGAGGAGATCGGGAGGGCGCGCTGGTTCGGACTGAACTGCCCGCCCGAGGGAGGGTGGTGAGCACGGCCTCGGGGCAGGGCGGGGGCCGCACCGCCTGGCAGAGCGTCAAGCCAATGGCCGGAGACGTGGGCGGACCAGCACGACCCACCCACCCTTGCCCAGACGGGCGCGGCACAGGGCCACACGCTCACCTGCTCCTTGTTCATGTCCTCCGGAGCCAGCCCGTCCACGATCGGGGTACCTCTGCCTTTCCCTTTCTTTTTGGGCGCCTTTGGTCAAAGAAGAGACGCTCAGTCAGGGAGGGAGGCTCTGCAACAGCTTCGCTTTCAGGAAGGCTGGTTCCCCCGGGCCCCTGGGAGAGGGGCTCCGCCGCCTCCTGCCGCGGCCGCGGCACTCGCTCTCCCCTGAAGTTCCCCGCCCGTACCCCGCTCTCCTCTGCGGGCGCCTTTGGAGGAGGAGGAGGGATCTCCCCTTTCAGAAGAGAACATTTTCTCCCTCGGAAAGGAAGGGAGGGGAACGCGACCCCGTGCACTCCCTGGTGCTGGGCGAAGCCCGCGCGGCCTCCCGAGGAAAGACCCCAGCGTCCGTGCCGAGCGTCACCGTGTGGGCTACGGTGCTCGGCAACCGCCGCAGAGCGGCCAGCAGGGGTCGCCCGCACGGGCTGGGAGGCCTGCCCCGCTGGCAACGATCACAACGCGAGGCGTGCTTTCTTTTCTGCCCAACGCAAAACTCCTCCCGAGGACCTGGTCCGGGGAGCGGCACACGCCGCCCTCCTGGGCGCTGTGTCCGGGCTCCCCACGGAACCACCCCGGCGTCACGCCTCTTGTCAGCAGCTCGGCCGCGGGGACGGCGCCCCTCGCCCGAGCGCGGCTGAGCCGGCGCTGCGTCCCCACACCCTCGTCCTCTGCCCGCACTGCCTTCAGCTGTCTGCGACGCACGCGTGTGTGTGTCTACACGTCTGTGTAACTTTTTTTGTGCCTACATGTCTCTGTAACAATTTATGATTACAAAAATTACGTGGAAATCTTAGAAAGCGTAGAGAAGCAAAAGAAGTACGGAAAACCATGCCTATCCCTCCAGCCAGCAGCGAGAAGTACTCGGTGGCCTTTGTGCAGTGGACGTTCAAAGGCCCATCCCCCCGCGAGCGCCCAGGCTCTGCCTGAGCCTCCCACTCCGGGGAGGCGTCCCCTACGCTCAGGCTCTATGTTCCGGCCACATCGGACCGAGGCCTTGGGAGGCCGAGGAGGCGAGGTCCTACAACCGCCGGGCGAGCCACAGGACCCTGGAGCCCAGGGTTCAGCTACGGGCTCGGCGGACGCGCGACCCGCGGCGCCTGGGGCTCTCCCGCCCCCGTGCACGCTCCCCACGGAGCACCAAGTTCTCCGTTGCGGGAACCCAGCGTCCCGGGCCTCCCCTCGGGGGTGTCTGCCCGCAGGACCGGCGCCGACCGCCTGGCCCGTGGCGGCCTCACCATGGCTCCAGGGGTCCGGGCCGCTGCGACCCACAGACTGAAGCGCCCGCGGGGCGGAAGCTGCGCCGTCTCCCAGCAACCGCTGGGCGGTCCCGCGCGAAGTATCGAAGATCCTCGCGAGACTCCGTGCGCCGCGACAGGCCCTGGCGACGGCAGGAGCGCGTCCCCAGCAACGCGTCCTGGGCCGAGTCAGGGGTTACCACGAAGGTCTTGCTTGCAGCCGGGCCTCATCCACGCACTTGATGGCCCCCACACCCCGAAACGCGTTTCGTCGCGGGATGTACGTGTACATCGCCGGCCTCCGCCGCCGTTTCGTCCACTTCTTACCTGCAGTGCCGAGAACAGCGCTAGGTCGGGTGCTCAACCCCGGTGCCTTCAACGCTGGAGGGAGGGAGGAAGTATCAATTTAGATTCAAATTTGGGCCGAGCCTCAGCCCCTGATCCTGACACCACGCGGCCCACCTTTGAAGATTCCTTCCCTGCCGGTCTGGTGAGGATGGAAGATAGCCAGGTTTGCACAAAACTTCGAAGAAAACAACGTTAGAAAGCTCCAAAGGTTTGAAATCAGCACGTGTCCCCTCCGCAAAGGCCTGAGGAGGCCTCCTCTGTGGCCCCTGTTCCCATGGCGAGGAAAAAGTGGAAACTTCTGCCCCGGGATTCCAGACAGACAGAAAAAACGAGTTATCAGGCTCCTGCCCTAACCGCCTGACGGTTTCCAAAGTGGATCTCCCATCCCTACCACTACACTACTACCTGCATGCATTGCTCTGTGTCACCCAGAAGGCTGAGTGTTTGTCGCAAGCAGGTGCCCATCTTCACACACTGTTTATGGTCTTTTATCCTATGCTCTCAACTTGAGCATCTTCCTAATTAGTGGTCTTGCATATTTTTCCATCTGTTTGTAGATGAGGGGGTCCACCATCTCCTCCCCTTGGAGAGTTGCACTGGGGACAGAGGGGGAATCATAAAGAAAGGCTGGATCTGCCCATGTTGCCCCCCCTCCCCCCAGAGAGGAATATGCCTTCTTTGCTCTTGTTTGTGGCCGTTAGACACCCACCCAGTGGCAGGGATCTGAGAGCCACCCCGATGAGCCAGAGGAGCTTCCTGTTTGCCCAGCCAAGCCCTGGCTGTTCTCAGAGTGGAGCAGCCAGTTGAAAGGGCTGCATTGACCTAGCTCACACAGAGCTGCGGTTTATTTATAGCAGGCCCCGAGGCCTTTGTGAAGGCTGATCCTGCCCCTGTGCCTGGGCAACCAAGGCCTGCGCCTCTGTGCCAGACACCACCGGCCTGAGAGGAGCCTCCTCCCCCAGGGCCAGGCCTCCTAGAGGGGGCTTGGCAGGCAAGGCTGTGCAGCTGGGCGACACAACGGGGCGATTATTATTATTTAACACTTACTTTGCAGACCCAATATGCTAGGTGCCTCGTGCTGATTGGTTCTTCCTTCAGAAGTCTGGCTCAGAGTCCTGAATTAAGGAAAAGCATTAACAATAATTCCTTTCAGCAGAAAAGGGCAAGAATAGGAGGGTTAGCTCAGGATAACCAGACAGCGTGTTCATCTGTCACAATCCAATGATGTCGCATGGCTCATCAGCAGGGACCGAAGAGATGGACAGTGGCTGGAGCCTGGACTCCCAGCCAGGCCCACAGAGACTTGCACTTTCCATGTTGATTTGAGCTCAGGTTTTTTAGAAAAGAGGCTTTTCTTCACGTGTGTGGCTTAAGACTCTTATTCAGCATCACGCTGGGCAACTCGGAAATCCAGATAAACGGCATCTGAGTTTTCTGCAAAATCCCAGAATTGATGTTAATCATACAAACCACTGATATGTCATCTAATGTTTGCTCTCCCTGATGCCCACTTACCTGGCCAGCCAGGTAAACTACTTCAAGCCACCGCATCAGCTGGGGATGCTTAGGTGTTAGGATAGCGAGTGCTTAAGGAGACTACACGCTCTTTGAGAGAAAAATACTGAAGTATTTACCTATGAAAGGATATAATATGTATAAGATTTGCTTTGCATTTAGAGGGAGGCTTTGAGTGCAAAGAAACAAGACCAATCATTGCATCTGCATGAAGGGGCCATGTGGATGAATTGTGGTATCCTCTCTACTTTGGCTGGAAAATGTTCTTTAAAAGGGTTAAAAACAAACACTGGCCTCTGGGTGCCTTTGACAAGAGTCCCTTGGCAGACATTTATTCACCCCTGTTGCAGGGATGATGATTAAACAGTTACCGTTGCAGTTCCTGTGGCTGCAGAACAGGTGAGACCCAGAATGCAGTGGCTCAATATATTTTGGTCATGAATCTGCAGCGAGGCCAGGACCAGGCAGACACAGCTCCCCTGAGCTCCGCATACCACCCAGCGGGGCTGGGGGCGTGAGCAGCGGGGGCTTCCTCACACTGGGTGGCTTGGTTCCAGGGGCGCCTTCTCAGAGACAGCCAAGGCCTCCTTTCACAAAGCAGCCCTTCCGCCACATGCATGTCACACGCCTGGCCCAGCTTCGAGCAGAAGGAACCAGGTGGGGAGTGTCTTGATCAGAGTGGGAGGTTCTAGGAAACATGTGGGGTGAGAAATATTGCTCGGACCATTTTGAGAAAACACAGGCTGCCACCCCAGCTGGCTCCGAGCACCCGGGGCCCACCCGCTGCCCACACCACCCACCCGGTCGCTCATTTTGGTCCCTGAGAGGCCAAATCCTCTGCCTCTTGGGATGGCACAGGGACCAGCGGTGAGTCCTAGAGGGTCATGACATCATTTTAGACAGTTTGAAAAAGCAGCTTTTGTTTTCATTTCTTTAGTGAACTGCAGGAAAATGAGAAGGAGTAGCCTGGCTCCCTGACTGCTGGTCGCATGGGCCTGGGGCTCCTGTGAACCTCCGCCTGCCTCTGAGGGGGCGCCTGACTGCAAACACCACGTTCATACCCACCTCCCTCCCCTGCGGGCCTTTTCCACTCCCAGCTGGGAACAAACTCTCTGAAGCTTTTCTCTGGTTTGGTTTGTTTTTGTAAAAGTGCAGAACTTGGGCTTGGATTTGGGTCTTCCGGCTTGCAGTGCGTGGCTGTGCAACCTCGATCAGGTTACCTACCTCTGCTCAGTGCCTTCCCCTGGAAAGCGAGGATGCCGTTTCTTGAGAGTCACTGAGAGAGCTGATGAGACATTGTGCTCAGAGGGCCTGTGCGCGGGGCTGGGCAGCCGACCGCGTTGGGAGGTGGGACTTGAGCAAACCGTTCTGTGAGCTCCGAGAACCCAGACCCGGCCTTCCTTCCCAGGAGCAGCCCCCCGGCCCCCACCGACGACTCCTCCGGCCTTGCCGTTAAACGCTCTCGCCCCTCCCTGCACCCCCGGTGTTTCTTCACATTTATTACAACATGCAATTCTACGTTTAAGGTCCCTAGGGTGCAGGCTCCGCCTTTGCCTTTCTTTGTGCGAAGCGCGGTCTCGTAGCTGACGCCCCGTAAATATCTGGGGGTGAGCAAAGGGACGGGACTCCGCGCGACTGCGGGAGGAGCGTGCGCGCTGGGCCGGGAGGCCGCGGCCAGGTCCGGGTGGGTCCGCGGGGGGCGGGGTCCGCCGGGCCGGGTCCGACAGGGGGCGCGCGCGTGCCGGGCGGGGCCGCACCTGTGCTGCGGGCGGAGGGAGGATGGGGTGGCCCGGGCCGCGGAGCAGCTGCGCGCCCCGCCCCGCGAGCTCCTCCCCGCCGCCGCGGCCCCCGGGCTGCTGCCCGATGCGCTGCGCCGGGAGCCGGGAGACGCGAGCCGGGAGCAGGGCCGACTCGCCGCCGCTGCAGGGCCGCCTGGGCCGGTTGACGCCGCCGGCTGCATGGAGCCCCCGGAGGGCGCCGGCTCGGGAGGTGAGTGCGGCCCCGACCCCAGGGATCCCCGAGCTGCGCCTTTCCCGCAGCGGAGCCGCAGCCCCTGGTCCAGGGCCCTTGCAGCCGCTGGGGCGGCGGAGACCATCGGCCGCTCCGGATCCCGCCGCGCGAGGCTGGCGGCACCTCCCGGCAACGGCCGCTGCGCCGGGCGGGGGGCGCACAGACCGCGTCCCCGCCCCCCTCAGCGCTCCCGGAAGCCCTGCCTGGCGTGCTGCTGGGTGGGTGGCCCAGAGTTTCATCCCGAACCCCTCCCAGCCGAGCCGTGGATCCGGGGGTCAGGAGGTGGGGCGCGCCGGGGCCGGAGTTGGGGGTCTGGGTGGGCGAGACGTGGGGGGCGACGCAGCCCTCTTGGCCGCGCGTCTGCTTTGTTCGCCCCAGCAGCGGCTCCGGGGGGACTCGGGCGGGGTGGGGGCGCGGCCGGAACCCGGTCGGGCGCCGGGCTGAGGTAGGGTCTCGGAGGTGCTGTGCCTGTGGGGGCTTGCGGGGGCGGGGGAGTTGCCTGCAGGGCTGGGTGGCCTGGGAGGGCAGGTGCGCAACGACCGACCCTTCCTCGCAGCCCGTCCGCCGTCCTGCCGGAGTGGGAGGAACACTGTGGGAACCCCTCTTCAGCCCTTTCGGAAAGGGTTTGGGGTGCCATCCGTCCGCCTAGGAACTAGGGTGCAAACGCAGGACTCCTCCCCCCGCCTGACCAGGCCCCAGGAGCATCCTTGGTTTCCTGGGGGTTCCGTTCCAAGGAGCCACTCCCTGACACACAGGGACCCGCTGAGGGTCCCCCAGCGGCTCCAGCGGCCTCCTCTGGAGCCGCACTGACAGCCCGGCGGGTCCGGCAGCCGTGGGTCCGAGCCCTCTGGCTGCAGCCAGTTGTTGGGCTGTTCATTCCAGAGCGCTGCTTGGGGGCCCTTGTTACCCTCCCCGCCGGCACCACACACCCCGGCGCTGGTGGGTATCGGTTTCCTTTGTTGTGCCGTTTGTGGGAGGGATCCAGCCTTTTCTCCCAACCGACGGTCCCAGGACCCCCGCCCCGCCCCCACCGTTCCCAGTGGCAGCTTCGTGAGGATGCGAAGCAGGGTTTAGAGAGCGCAGGGCGGGGAGGGGTGGGCGGCGCGGCCCACCCGCGGAGACGCCCCGGCCCCTCCAGCGCAGGGCAGGCGCCAGGCGACCCTTCACTTGGAGGGTCTTCCTACTGGACCCTCA